CTGCTGGTGTGGCTGACAAGAAGCAAATTTGTTCCCAGTCAGTATCTACATAAGCCCTACTGTGCAGTATCTACTGCACTTGTTTAGTACCTGTTGATGCTTGTACATGTGACAGGGGTTTTATTCTATGCTGCCTAAATTGAAACAGTAGTTTTTTAATTGTTTCCGTTCACATTTAGGGGTTTCTATCACTGTTATGGCAATGGGCCTGATCCTTTTTTTTTCCAGCGGAGCCTGCCCACATTTGGGGGGCAGCTGCCAGGAGGCTGAGCATCCCCTGAACTACAGGGGGCCCTGGTTCTTCCCTCTGCAGAGGTGGTGGCCCCAGGGCCACCCGGACAGGCTGCTAGAGGCCAGGTGTTTCCCCAGCTTGGAGGCAGCACCTGGCTGGATCTAACTTCCTTGAACCTGCTGGGGCTTCCAGCACCCCATGCACTGTCCCTGCCACCTTCCCATTGTCTGGGACTGCCTAAGAACAGGCTGGCTTGTCCCTGGGGCAGTGTGGAGAGGTGGCAGGAGGGTGGTTGGGTGTGCTGGCAGCTGGAGAAAGTGGCAGGGACGGTGCAAAGGTGCTGGAAGACCAGACAGGCTCAGGAAGCTCTGGCTTGGAAGGCTTCTAGCAACCTGTGCACCAACCCCACCACCTTCTCCAGTTGCCAGCACACCCAGCTGCCCTCCTGCCACCTCCCCACACTACCCCAGGGGCAAGCTAGCCTGTTCGCAGGGCCAATGCATGGGTCACTGTAAGCCCCAGTGGGCTTCAGAAAGAGTTGCATCCAGCCAGGTGCTGCCTCCAAGCTGGGCAGCCTGCCCGGGCAGCAGCTTGCCTGCTAGCAGCCTGGTCGGGCAGCCCCAGGGGCACCACTGCTGTAGAGGGAAGGACCTGGGCCCCCTGCAGCTCAGGGGCTGCTTGGTCTGCCAACAGCTTGCCCTCCAGCCACAGGAGAGGCGGGCAGGCTCTTTCCAGGCTGGTTTTTGCTCCACGAAGAATCCTTCAGTCAGCATCAGTAAGAAACAGTTTTTAAACAAATGAAGTAAATAAAACCTGGTTGTTCTGTCCCAGACACAGGTCCTTTTTGGCTCTGACCTTCATAGCAGCCTTGCCCTCCAAGCAGTTCAGCAGTTCAACTCTACTTTCAAGGTTTAACTCCCAAGGAGCAACTCCATCACTAGCAGCGTTCTCAGCTCAGCAACACTGGATGACTCCTACTAAGGGGACAGGGCACCCTATTGTACATCCTGTCTTAGAAAAATCTTTGCTTGGAAAGCAGTTTTACCACCAGAAGATAATAATTCTTTTTTTAAGTTGAAGGTTAAAGGAACCACAAAAATCAATTTACAAAGCAGACCATGGCCTAAAACTCTACTGTTGTTAAAAGTTACAGATTTGTATGAGAAGGCTTTCAGATTCAGATCTGGACACCATCATCCATGGTTTTGTAACCTCAAAGCTACACTACTGGAATGCTCTGTATACAGGGCTGCACTTGAAAACTGTCTAGAATATGCCACTGATGCATAACATGATGGCCTACCTTCTGACAGGATTGCATCACCAGGACAATATAACTCCAGTCCTGCAGCATCTGTGCTGGGTCCTAATAGCTCTCTGGGCACAATTCAAAGCACTGATTTAGATCTATAAGGGCATTTTTACACATGATCTGGGAGGTATGGGGGGGCATTTTAATTAGCGAGCTGCACTAATTAAAAGTACCCTAGCATCACGTATATCAGCATCCTCACACTGAAAAATAGTGGCAGGGAGCTTTGAACTAAGATTGAACAAGCTTTAGTTCAAAGCACCCCACTGCCATTTTTCAGCATGGAGATGCTGATACACATGATACTAGAGTCTGCTGGAGAGCAGTGGCATACCAATGGGAGGAGGGGGCCGGTTGGGCCCTCCAGGGGCAGTGAGCATGACACGTACCCACCCCAGCCATGGATTCTAGGAAATCAAGGACCTTGGGTCTGCCACGGAGGCCCGAGCATTACCATCACTCCATTCTCCACCCACAACTCCCCCCCCCATTCTTGTGCCATTTTTCCTTACACCCTTCCCCCATTGCCTACTGATAGACTGGTAGTCAAAGATCATGTAGTTGGAAAAAAGGTTTTAGAAGATTTTTATACCCAGTCAAATTATGTCATTTGGTCAGAATTATCCAAAAATATATTTTTACTTTTTCATCCATGAGCAAACTACTTTGAGGTCACAAGTAATTTTAAAAAATTAGAGGCGAGTTTTTAACAACTTTATTTATATTTGCTACACTGCAATAACTAGCATTGCATTTCCCCTTCCTGCAACATTTTCAGGTTTGTCCCAGGCTGCTTCTAGGAACTGGGTGTATACAATTCAGCATAAAAAATTCAATATAGAGCTACTTTTTTTTTGCCCTCCATTTTTTTTCTTATCTAACTATGCTTATGTTATATGTTTTCTGCTATGATTAAGCCTGTTACAACAGCTATGTGTATTTTTTTCTACCTATCCTCATTAGTATGCATGTGTAGAGATTTGGGGTCTACTTGCTCCTGTTTAGGCCTGTATTTTACTATTTGCTGATAAAATATACACCTGTAGAAGGCCAACTGGATCAGATTTTTTTGTCCATAGGATCTCTGACCACAAGATGAACACGAGCTTGCAATGTGATGCTGTGGCTAGTAAAGTGACCAAAACGCTGGCTTGCATCCATAGATGCTTTTCAAGCAGATCCTGGGACATCATTCTCCCATTGTACTCGGCCTTGGTGAGGCCGCAGCTGGAGTACTGCATCCAGTTTTGGGCCCCACAATTCAAAAAGGATGTGGAGAAGCTTGAGAGAGTCCAGAGAAGAGCCACGCGCATGATCAGAGGTCAGGAAAATAGAACTTACGATGACAGGCTGAGATCTATGAGACTCTTTAGCCTGGAAAAGCGCAGGCTCAGGGTTGAGTTGATGTCTACCTATAAGTTTATCAGGGATGACCATCAGTATCTGGTTTGTTCACCAGAGCACCCCAAGGGATGACAAGGTTGAACAGTTATAAACTACTGCAAGACCATTTCAGGCTGGACATAAGGAAGAATTTCTTTACTCTCTGAGCCCCCAAGGTCGGGAACAGCCTGCCAGCAGAGGTGGGCAAGCACCTACATTGAACACCTTCAAGAGTAAATTGGATGCTTATCTTGCTGGGATCCTATGACCCCAGCTGACTTCCTGCCCTTCAGGTGGGGGGCTGGACTCGATGATCTTCTGAGGTCCCTTCCAGCCCTAATGTCTAGTATCTATGAAAATGGTGGATGTGGAGCAGTGATCATTTCTGGTGCAGCAGTAATCCCCAATAAAGACACTAGTAACACCTAGTGGTGAATAGGCAATCCCCAGCAAGGGAGAAGCAGCCACTGCAGTGTGGGCCTCTGTACCCAGCAATGCATGTAACGATGTACACATGATAAAAATTTCCCAGTGTGTGGCTTAATGGTGTCACACTTT